TTCACTGACTGTCTCTCAGTATGTCATTAATTTGCCCACACACACACACACACACACACACACACACACACACACACACACACACACACAAGGATAACCCCATCCTTGCAGGTGGCAATAAAGGTCAAACTACACCATGAGTAGGTCCAGAAGCAATCAATCACCTGTAGCTGTGTGTGTCCGTACACAATCTGCTATACGTGATGTGTTCTGGATTGTTGCTAAGAAACAAACATGCCAAAGGGCATGTAGGAGGAGACTGTGTGTTGTGACACACACATGCACACACACATACAAGCTGAAGTGGAAATATCAGTGAAGGTTTGCAATTAAATTTCTTGCCTTCTGTTACAAGACTAATTGCACAAAAAAGTCCAAATTTTAAAATTGCATTTAGCTAAAAGGACATATGCTGAAGTGTTAAAGTGTTAAAATGCTAATATAGTTTCATATACTGAGAACAAAACTCAAAAAAAATATTTATGTCTGAATGCTGCTCTCTGATCTGATCTAGAGTTGCTCTTAGTGAGAAGCAGCAGGCTGTGGATGTTGTCCTTGCATCCTTTTTGCTTGCTTACTGTTGTTCGCAGTTATCTGCCGAATGACAGATCAGTGCACCCCGCCTTCTTGGAGTCGCTGGGTGGGCTGCTTGAGGGTGCTTAATCCAGTGACTTCAACAGTCACATGGGCAACAGATTGATGATCAGTTGTGTAATTGTTGCATCGGATCTCTTTAATCCCTCTGACACATCTTCTGTTAAGGAAGCAGAGTCTGGGCACGAGGTCACTGAGGTAGGTAAGCAACTGTGTTGTTGCCACTACAACATATATATACATATATATATGTGAACTCTCTGCATGTATTTTGCTCAGGTTTTAATAGTTTTCCTTCAGTCATCATTTTGTTTCCTATAATTGATTGGGGAAAAATGCCGCTAATGCACTGGGCATGCTTACATCTGCATGCACGTACTCAGGGGAAACATTAAGCTCTGATGTTTCAAAGTTAATGTTGTCTAACACAGTGGACAACGCGCCTGCATTTTTCATCAAACTAAGCTCAGTGCAAAGGAAAGAGAGGCTCGGTTAATATTGTGCTAAAAATGAAACATGAATTCGTCTCGCTGCACTTGTTATTGTGGCAAATCAATAATGACACGACCCAATTCTGTCTCCTAAACAGGTTCAAACCAGATGTGACTCGAGGTTTTCGATTCTGATGGGAACAGATGGTCACAGAGCAAGACCACACACAAACACAGGCGTGAACGCAAACACACACGTTTGTTCAGATAGGAACCCAGGGTCCCATATTGCTCCATGCTGCTATTTGTCAACGGTGCACACAATAAAGGACAGATGCCTAATTGGTAAACATTCTGCTGCGAGTAAATCACCTCTATCATCGGCACACACGCGGTGGAAAACAAAAACACATCAGGCGTCTCGCACGCTGATATTTTGAAGGAGGTTGTCCGTGTTTCTGTTTTAAATTTCTCATATTTTCTGTCTGTAATACTGAGATATAATATCTGTGTGAGTGTTTCAACATTAACAAACTCGCCTCATTCCTCAGCGACTGAAAGAAGCTCTTTGTCTATTGTGCTGCATGACAATATGTATTGTAAGAGACGGAATCAGATTTCTTCCCAAGCAGGTCTGTGTATGACTGTGTGTGTGTGTGTTAGCGTGTTTGTGCCAAGATATTACAGAGAGCGAGAGCTCGTTATGAACGAGTTTTCTTGTGACAGTGCAGGTGTGTATGACAATGTCTCAGACTGAAATATGCGTGTGTGCAACTGTGTTTGGCCGCCGGGAAAGTCTGTTTCCCTCCTGTCCTAATCCACTCACTTACCTGAGTTTCTCCTGCAATAAGTCTGGAGTCCTTCCAACACACACACACACACACACACACACACACACACCTATATGAAAGTGCGGCCGTATACCCATTAGACGAAGTAACATTTTGCACATCTGTGTGTGTTTATGCCTTGTAAGGTAACACTGTGCGAAGCTGTGGGTGGGTGCGGCGAAGTCCATAAATCTTTTAGGTCTAATCAACAAAACACTCATAAATAATGCAAGATTGTGTGCAACCACGAGACTAAAAACAGAACCAAAATAACTTCCACAAGTATTCTCTCTTAATTTAATGGAGATTTTAATGCCAGATTTTCATCAGTGAGCATGTTCTGGGATCTTAACTTGATCTAATCTTATATACTGTCATGCTAAAATCATCATATTTTCTGCTTTTGTTCAGGGGACGAGCCAGGTGATGCACCCAGCGGTCGTAGTCCAGTAGGAAAGGACAGGACCCCACCTCGTCGTCGCCCAGTCCTGCCTCATCTCCTTCCACCTACACAGGTAAGTAAAAAGAACTCAGAACAATAAGTAAACATGACAGGTTAGCAGACATGGCAATAATTGTCTGCCCATTTCAAAGACAAAGAAAGACAAAGAAACCAAAGAATGGTTCGAATGTGACTGAGAACGAATCAGCCAAACAGAAGTGAAACAAATCCCGTACATCAACACTCATACAAGTGCAGACAGACTCGAGAGTTATTTGGAACGATCTTTTTTCTGACAACCGTATCGATTTTTGCCGACTTTCATGGAGCATTAGGGACGAATCTGTAGTTGTGCATCAGTATCGACGATTCTGAGGCCTGAAATCCTCTGACCGTTTTCCAATACTTTTTGGGTTATTTCACACCCACGCACACCTCCTTCAAAGCACTGCAATGAGCTCCTCTGATTAATTACTGAGAAGCAAACACAGAGTGATCGATCAGCCCGTCACATGCAGAGCTCTGTCAGAGAGAGCCTGATGCAACTTGATATCAATGTTGTTCCTGGATGACGCACTTTTCATTGAATAGTGTCTGCTGTGTGATGTAACACCACTGCTTGCTCTCCCTGAAGTTCAATGAACATACAGATGGAATCGTAGATTTAGTTTTTGTTTCTATTTTTTTAGTTGAGCAACTACAGAAAACCTAGTTTTATTTCTAAAGATGTACACATACTTACAAATGTAAGTACAGCGAAAAGTCTTGAGTCGCCCCTCGTTTCTTTATATAGTGGTCCCTCGTTTATCGCGGGAGTTACGTTCTAAAAATAACCCGCGATAGGTGAAATCTGCGAAGTAGCTAACTTTATGTTTTACAATTATTATAGATGTTTTAAAGCTGTAAAACCCCTCACTACACACCTTATACAGTTTCCTAGGACAGGCATGAACATTTTCACAATTTTCGCTTTTGTTTAAACACTCCTTCGTAGAATAATAAGTCCAGTATTATAGAATGAAACCAAAGGCACCTGCAACATACAGTACAGCACTTCAGAGTCACACTGCTAGCGATCGAAGATTCATGTAAATTTGACAAGCTGAACTCATTCTATACTGTGCAGGAGACATGACACGAGATTGAATGATAATGGTCTACAGCCAATCAGGACGCAGAACACAATGCGCTGTTAAAAAAAAAAAATCAGCAAAGCATGAGGCTGCGAAAGGTGAACTGCGTTATAGCGAGGGACCACTGTATTGTACCACTGCTTTGAAGGTGTTTTTATTTGTATCTGTTATCATATCTATATCTATATCTATATCTATATATCTATATCTATCTATATATCTACATATAGATATAGATATATATATTTCCTTGTTAACTCTATTTTCTGTAATGTTTTCTGTTATTGCCTATCCTCCGTCAGGTGCCTGTTAAAGGCGCTGCCCACACGATGACTTTTGAGCCTTTGACCCTGCTCTCTCTGCTGCTCTTTCTGCTGTCACCATGGGAACCACGCTGATGAGGAGGAGAAAGATTTGGGGCTGTACAGTGACAGGAAGTGTTGAAAGACTGTATTTTTGTGTTACTTTCTGTAAGCACAGCTCAACCGAAATGATTGTTATGTTGTTCTGGGTCACCTAGCTGTTGGTTTAACACAGCTACAGGTGCGCAGTATGCAATTTTTTGTATTACCTGTACTTACCTCTACATGTGTTCATTTGTATTTAACTTTTATAGAATAGACCACACAGCACTACTGACTTTTTTTTGAAGTGATATGTAAATACAAATATATATATTATATATATTTATATAAAGAATTTCTAAAGATAACAAAGGATTGAGTGTAAATTGAGGTTATTCTAGATCAGAGCAGGACATTAAGGGATGTTTGGTTTAGTATTATCTTTAAAAGATGTACAGTATCTTCCACAGACACTAAGACCTGTAGCAAGTATAGTTCATGCTGAGGACCTCCCTCATTAGTGAAGCAGTGTGGTTGGAGGGAACGAAAACTTGTGAAGCCTCATTAATGAAGAAGATACAGGCTGTAAAAGTCCATCTAGGCACTTTCTTAAAAAAGCAAAACAACCAGCTATACTTCAGACTATTAAGAGATGCTCTTGCAGTTTAGTGAAGATGTTCACAGTTTGCTCAGTAATTGTGCAAACTGAAGCTAGCTTATAGGTTGTGGAGAAATTTGTTATGTTTCTTCTTCAGATGCACAGTCTCCAAAACTGTAAAAGCACCGTACTAATGAATATAACAGATGTAAGTAAAACTTGAAATTCACTTATTCAACAGAAGGCTCTGTCAAAACATAAGAATATAAAAAAGCACCCAGGAAAAGAGACAACCATCTGCCTGAACAATAAATAATGCGATGTCTCATTTTCATATGCAAACATGAACTGTCATGTGCTTTCAAAGGCTGGCTTCTCTTCCAATGTGTATTAATTGAATTTGCTTTCTCCTTCAGTGAGGTAACGTTTAAGACATTTAACAGTACTGTAGGCTTGTCTTTACTGTTCAAGCTTTTTCTAAATCTGATTTTTGTGATATCAGATTGTCTCCAGTGAGGGGAAATGATGGAATACAGAGATAGTGACCAGGGCACAGCTGAGCCGAGATCCATACGTGATTTAATTAATAATTCATATTACAATTATGACTGAAGATTGCCGAACCAGTCCGCATGCATTTTGTGGAGTTTCCCTCTGAGTGTTATGTGGGTGGTACTTCGGGAGTATGGGGTGTCTGGCCTGTTGCTACGAGCCATTCGATCCTTATACAACCATTGCAAGAACTTGGTCCCCATAGCCAGGAATGAGTCGAACTTGTTGCCGATGGTGTTGGACTCCACCAAATTTCTAGATGTAGCCAAGTGGGCCGTTTCAGAATCTTGCCTCCGCTTTTTGCAGAGGATGTGGTTCTGTTTGCTTCATCAGCTGGTGGCCTCCTGCTTAAAATGAGAATAGTCCTCGGCTGTAAAAGGTTGAAGTGCCGACCCCATGTCACGAGCGAGAGGAGAGGGGAGCGAGAGATGGACAGAAACACTGGTGCTGCGGCTGCAGTGATGCAGACGTTGTATCTGTCCGTGGTGGTGACGAGAGAGCTGAGCGTCCCTACGTCCCTACCCTCAACCTATGGTCATGAACTTTGGGTAGTGACCAAAAGAACGAGATTGCGGATGATGGCTGGCCTCTCCCTTAGAGATAGGAGTTTGACCAGAAGGGGCTCAGGGTAGAGCACCTCCTGCTCAAATGATGATCCACATCGAAAGGAGCCAGTTGAGGTTGTTTGGGCATCGGACAAGAATACTTCCTGGATGACGTGTTCCGGGCATGTCCCACTGGAAGGAGGCCCCACGACAGACCCAGGACACGGTGGGGAGATTAAATCTCTTGGCTGGCCTGGGAACACGTTTGTGTTCCCTCACACAAGCTGGAGGAGGTGGCTGGGAAGAGGGAAGTCTGGGCTTCTCTGCTTAGGCTGCTGACCCTGTGACGACCCACCCCGGATAAGCAGAAGCGGATGGATGGATATTACAATTATCAAATCCTTTTGGCTCTCTGTTGAATCTCAAATATGCACCCAACAGCTGGACAGCCAACTGGGAGATTGGTTAAAGCTATTCAATAGGGTGCAAATGAATAATTTAACAGACTTCTAATCTATTTATGTCTGTGGATGGTTGGCCTTGTTTGTCTCGGTTATATCACACTGTGCTGGTTACATTAACTGCCTCAGAAATATACCCTCTTAAAAACCTCTTTTCTTGAGGTTTCACCTCGTAGAGAGCGAATGATTGAGGGTAGTATTTGTCTTTTACTAAGTACAGTGAAATTTTTTAAAAATGTGTCTGCTTTCATGGTCCGAGTCTTTTTATTTATGAGGGAGAGACAGATGATTGACAGCTTAAGAAATACCATTATGAGCTTAAGTGTGTGAAATATCTGGGCAGTGAGCCCAAAACCTATGTTAGACAGCAGGATGCTTTTACAACATAACCTTCAAACAAATGTGCTATCATTTGATTACTGTTTAAACGCTATACCTAAATGGGATGAGTTTTTGGATTCAGTCCAAACTCTACCATCGTTCACAGCTCCTTCTGAGCCTACAACACACCGACTGATATACACGAGCACAGGACTTTTTTGGTTTTTCTGAAGCCTACCTTTGGCCAATCACATGCTTTGAAGGAGATTTAAAATTTAAAAAAATGTCATATATTGTTTAGGTTGTTAAATTGTTATTTTTTTCTCATAATAAGAACTCAGTTTTATTAATGGTTATTCTGTCGAGATAATCTATCGAGATAATCGGAAGAACTAAATTATTTAGGAACTGCAGATCAAACAGATTAAACTTAGTGTTCTCAACTTTGTGGTTTCTCACCTGCTGTAAAGTTGAGATGAGAAATTGACATTGAGAAACCAATAGCGAAAAAATGATGTCATTATGAATCTGTGCGTGATTTTGAGTATAACACTTTGGTGCATCAAAGTGCTAAGTAGCATGTCAAATCATACTGGTGTACGGCGAATAAACTTTGTCATCGTTGGATAAAAGTCATTATGTTTTCTTGATCAAAGTTTAACAGCTCTCTTAGTTTAGGAATCCTAATTTTTGTTGTTATTTAGCAGGATGCAGAGGAACCAGAATACAATAAGAACAACCTGTTAGCTACAGCCGTGTAGCTCAAACCACTGAGCTAATGTTAATGCGCTAATGCTAACATCAGTGACTGATGTGAAACTCACCACTGTAATGTACTGTGTCCTGCTACTGTTGTGTCATTAATCACCATCAGTTGGATATTTTTAATAATAAACTGTGTTTTTAAATATGTAGTGTAGTTTTTGATATGTCTAAAAAGTTTTTTTAATTAAGGTTAGAAGATCTGAATAAAATCTACAAACAGAACTGAAACCGAAGTCTAAAATAAAAAGAACAAAATCTGCATCTTAAACCAGCCAGCATAGCCGCACTGTTGCACGAATTATCCCATTAAGGAGGAGTCACCCTCTCATTAATGTGACATTAATGCTTCTAGTGTGGCTGTAATCGTCGGGTTAACTTCAACTTCACACCTCTATAGAGGAGAAATTACAGATGAGTGATTTGAAGCTATCAAGAGAAAAACACTTTTATCATTTTATATGTTTGGTTTTGATTATTTCTTTGATTATTTCCACTTTGCTAACTCCGATGTGGGGCAGCTTGCCAGACAACCTAATCACCAACATATTCTTCCACACATGGTGCTTTGTTTACACAAGCCTGACGGTAACTCTACTTTTACTGTCTTCTGAAGAAATCAGACAGCAGAAATAAAACTGTAGAGCACGCTGGAGTCCATTACATGGACATGAGTCATTGCAGCAGTATAACCAAAATGTAGATTGCGTTTCAACTCCCCAAAATTAACTAAAAGGAGACCAGCCAGACTGAGCACTACACTCTACAGTAAGACATGGATCTGCCATCTCACTCATTGGGTTCTGACCAGTTCCTGTATAAAATATCAGGCCTGTTGATGTTCAGTGAAAGAAATGATACCTCATGATTGAGAAGCTCAGACTAGCTTAATGTTTAGCAACTGTCCTGAAACTAAATTACGCTTTTGTTTTATGTATAGATTCTTAATAGATAAAGACATGCAGCAGTGAGGAGGAGAGACTTTGAGCCAAATGTCTCTTCTGCAGTGCCCATTTCAAGACAAACTGATTAACAGAGTACAAACTCTTCATATAGTTCCACTGCATTAAGAGACTTAGTGGGCCTTGAGCAGTATGGCAGCTGCATTTATATAATTCCAATGAATAGCAGGAATCACCAGGCATCTGCATATATGCATTCACTGTACATGTTATTAGCTATACCTGTTCAATACTCATAACCAAAATATCTAATGGGCCAATCACTTGGCAGCGATCCATTACATTCATTCATGTGGACATGGTCAAGACAACCAACTGGAGTTCAAACAGAGCATCAGAAAAAAAGAAAGATGATTTATGGGACTTTGAATGTGGCGTGGTTGTTGGCAGGCTGGTGTTCTGAATGCACAGAAAAAGAGAAAAGGATGATGGTCAGACCACTTCAAGTCAAATATGCACTCATTACAACCAAGGTATGCAGAAGAGCATCGTTCAATGCACCTCACATTAAACCTTGAAGCAGATGAGCTACAGCAGTCACAAAGCTCAAATCATCTCAAACTGGTTTGTTGAACATAAAAATGAGCTCAGTGTACTCGAACGGCCTTCACACTCACCAGATCTCAAGCCAACAGAGCACCTTAGGAGATTTACACCATGGATGTGCAGCCAACAAATCTGCAGCAATTTTGTGACGTTCTCATCACATTATGGATCTCTTGGGAATGTGATGAGTAGCTAGCAAGGTGTACCTAATAAAATGCCCGGTGACTGTATGTCTCTGCTCACATGTAAAACAAATGCCGTTACAACAAGTAAAACCATATCAGTATAACCAGAGAAGCCCCTGAAAGGGCCAGAACGCTAATGGTCTGTGCAATGAAATGTAATGTGTAACACGATGCTCGTAAGTGCTAGCTTTGAGCATAGCTAGCAATTAGAGCATGAGTATGTGGGGACACAAACCATTTGATGTTGTTGTCTACTCCATCTCCCAAACATGCACATACTAAAGGAGAGACAAAGCTTCACACAAATAAACAAAGTGACTCCTTCCAGGTGTAATTTCTGAGCTCACTTTTGGTCGAATTTAAAAACAACTACTCATTTGCATGATCCATATAAATGCTGTAAATGTAGTTTTGTTCAAGTGTTTCCATCAATTAATACAAATTATGCATAGTCTTGTAAAGTCACAGTGTGACACTTAGAGATAAGCTGTTTTGGGGTTACTCATGAAAAAGAAAACTCCTCAAATTTAGTGAGTGATGGCTCCACAAATGAAATGAAAAATGAGCAATCTTGGCTTCAATGAGTAACTTGGATGAAGTTTAAAATGCAATAAGTGTCCTTATCCCCATCGCCAGACTGGAGTGAGATTTGAAAACCTCAGCCCAATCAAAACTGTAAATTAGAGAGCAAACAGGAGCCTTACAACAATGAGTCATTAGCCACTGTTATTGAACCTGTTATAAAAAAAAAAATCAACTCTAAACTCTGGGCTAACAAATTTGCTGCAACAGAAATGAAGCACAACAAATCTGCATCCTTTTAGTCATCATCATCAATCTTCACTGAATGTGCCACACTCCACAACCTTTGAAAAATTGCTGCAGACTGAATTTTAATAACAGATACAGGGATCTCTAGAGTGGAAAGTGTTAACTTTTATTAATGACATTGGAAACACTTTTAATTAAAAAATAATATCACGGAAAAAACCAATAACAAAACTGTGGCATAGACCTGACCTTTATATGCAAATTCCACAAAACTGAATCTCCGCTAGAACAGAAGATAAAGTTCTGTAGGTTTACATTTTACCTCATAATAAATACTTTTACTTCTTTTTAGATTTGGATTTTACTTTTGGATCATCCACTACATCTAGGTCACTAAAAATAGATTTAAACATACAGGACACTGAAGCTGTGAAAGCTTTATTTATGTATATGTTATATGGGAACGTGGCTGCAGGTCTTTGGCCTCTGGCCCTGTGGAAGATTACTGTGATTGGATTGGCATGGTCACAAAGTTGGCACAGATTACTTGGCTGGCACAAGATCCTGCCGAGGCATGTTGGGAAATAAAGACATCGCTGAATGTGAATTGCCACCAAGAAGAAGAGGACAGGGGAGGGAGAGAAAGCACAAATGGGAGAGACTGGGAGGAGGAATGTCTGCCATCCCTCATCCTTATGCCGGCAGATCCAAGTTCCACCCATAATGTCTGTGTCATTCTGAAACTTTCTTTATTATTTCATTTATTTTTATTCATTATTATTGATATTTCTCTTCTACTGCATTTATGGGACAGATCCCGGCTTTTGCCCGATGAAGCCACGATCTGCTTTGACTAATTTCTCTGGGGAAAATGTCTTTCTTGTTTCTTTCAGCCAAAAACCGCAAAAGGGCTAGAACAGCCTGCACAGCCCTGAGCTATAAGAACAGAGAGGAAAGCAGGAGGGAGATGGGCTTAACAGTAAAGTAGGTGAAAATGAAAAAAAGGAACTGCATGAGGATTCAGGGCTGAGAGAGGCAGGGAGACAGAGCGTGTTGCAGGATGTTCTTTCGATGAGCTGATGAGGTTTCTTGCTGAATAATATCCTTCCTCTGTGCCGGCACTAATGAAATCAGAGCTGTGATTATTGTTGACCCTGTCCATGGGTTATGACTGACGTTTGTTCTATTTGAAATCATATTTATTACCCTGTTAGTATGTGTAGCCTTTGAAACACACATCATATCAGCGAGCACTGATTGCAGACATGTTGATGTGCTCCGTGCAGTTTTAGAGCTTCGTTAGCTATAAAAATGGGACTCGAGGCAAAGCAACGCAGTGGGATTTGTAATTGATTTAGAAAGTGCCACGACACAACTGCAAAGGTCAAACTGGTAAATGCTTGCCCTTTGCTGACATCCGCTGGATTTTATCGTATATCTGTCTGTTTGGAAATGAGCCCTTGAATTTACCCAAATCAATTTCCAGTGATGTGCGTTCATGCTTTTATATCCTGAAGAGCAACATTTTAGGGACTTAGTAAAAGGGGAACTTAGCGTCTGATCTGTGCGAATGAGAACATTGTTTCTGAAAATGTGCGGATTTAGAGCATCCGATTGCTGCCTAAATCCAAATAGGACTGGCGTGGCACTGCAATCTTAATTTAGTTTGAGTGTTTAGGAGCTGTTTAACCACAAAAGCTGATCATCTTCACAGTAGTTGGCAGCCTCCTTTTTCACAGTCTATAATGCCAACATCAGGGCTGCTCTAGTGAAGCAATTAAGGATTAAGTGTCTTGCTGAAAGGCACTTTTAACTTCAGCTTCTGTGTGGAAGAAACACTAACTGTTACTGCAAACTGCAATGCCAGAAAGACATGGAGGCTTTCTATCAGTGCCGTAAGACCAAATCAGATTCAAGGCCCATATCATTCACCTTTTTAACAAGTTAATATCCGTGTCTCATGCAATCAGACCCAGGACTGTTTTTACGTCTGTAGCTCTAATCACATATGAGCTCCTGCTGTCAAAGCAAACTTTTTTACGTGTGGCAGAGAAGCGCACAAGAGTGAACAACACAAAGGAGGTTGTCTGGTTAGTTAGTCGCATTAAAAGCTGACCAGAGGAGGGGCGTCGCTCACCTTGGAAGTTCTCTTTACCACTGTGAGCTAAAGATAGGGCACATATCACTGACCAGTTATGATCGAGATATCCTTCTGCACGCTTTTCACCTTTAGCGCAAGTATGCAGACTCAGATTACACTCAGTTGTTTTTAAATATAGCTGAAATCACGGCATGTAATTTGGTTGTTTATAGGTTTCATACACCCACTCTATATCTGACATCTGGCTATGTCCATCTATATAACAGATGGGCATACATTCATAGTCAAAATAGGACAGTGACCTCCTTGCAACCAAGAAAAAGACAAATGGTGGTTGTCAGATGATTGGTCTGATTTTTTTTTATCATGCAGCAGCCGATTTAAAGTAGTTGCCAGAACCAACGGGTCACCCCGAGGTTGAAGGTGCAGCACCCTGAACCTCTGGACAACTAATGGCAGTCATAGAACAAGTGCAAAGGTCAGTTGGTGGGAGGCAACCTGTCTCCAAACTACTGTGGTCTGACTTTGACTGATTGCAGTCACTCTAAAACTAATAATAGTTATAAA